CCAGGTATACAGGGTTGCAGAATGACCAGGCTTACTACATGAGTGTGCACAATGACAGGCTTACCACTTATTGTGCGAATACAAGCCACCACGATGTGTGGCGAGTGACCACTTACCAATGTATGGTGCAGAATGTCAAGTTACACATGTATTGTGACAGAATGACCAGGCTTACCACATGAATGTGTGACAGAATGACCAGGCTTACCATATGTGAGTGGCAGAATGACCAGGCTTACCACATGTATGTGTGACAGAATGACCAGGCTTACCACATGTATGTGTGGTAGAATGACCAAGATTACCACATGTATATGTGACAGAATGACCAGGCTTACCACATGTATGTGTGACAGAATGACCAGGCTTACCACATGTACATGTGGCAGAATGACCAGGCTTACCATACATAATTGTGACAGAATGACCAGGCTTACCACATGTATGTGTGGCAGAATGACTAAGCTTACCATATGTATGTGTGGCAGAATGACCAGGCTTACCACATTATGTGTGACAGAATAACCAGGCTTACCACATGTATGTGTGACAGAATGCAGAAACCAGCCACTTGGTATTCAGAGTTAACAAGAATAGAGAGCCACTTTCTCTTAAGTACAACCATATAAATATTACAATTTGACTATATACAGTGGAACCTCTACTTGCGAGTTTAATCCGTTCCATGACCTTGCTCGCAACTGGATTTGCTCGTTTGCAGAGTCAATTTTCCTCATTTAAATTAATTGAAATGCAATTAATCCGTTCCAGTGGAATTCTGTACTTCAATAATTTCGTTAATATCAACTCTACGGCTTATTTATCTATCTCACTTCATCTAATATGACATAATAAACAATATAAATAACATAGAAACCTGACATATACTCTAAAATGAATAAAATATGTCATTCACGTAGTGGTATGGGCGGTGTCGGCGGTGGACGATAGTTTGTCTGGACACCGGGCAAAATACTTCATGAATAATTTCGCTAATATCATCTATACTGCTTATTTATCTATCACAGTTCATCTAGTTAGGAGGCCTGGTCACAGACCGGGCTGCGGGGGCGTTGACCCCCGGAACTCTCTCCAGGTAAACTCCAGGTAGTATCACATAATAAACAATATAAATAACATAGAAACATGATATATACTCTAGAATGAATAAAATATGTCATTCACGTAGTGGTATGGGCAGTGTCGGCGGTGGACGAGAGTTTGTCTGGAGACCGGGCAAAATTCTTCATGAATAATTTCGCTAATATCATCTATACTGCTTATTTATCGATCACAGTTCATCTAGTATGACATAACAAACAATATGAATAACATAGAAACATGATATATACTCTAGAATGAATAAAATATGTCATTATGTAACAGGTGGAGGCGGCCACAACCGCTCCCTCTTTGTTGTGGTAAACACTGCCATCTAGTGACGGCCTTTTGAAGCCGTCTATTATTATAATTATTATATGTAGCACATTATTATTATATATGTATTATTATTATACATATTATATTATTATATTAATGGTAGTAGGTTGGTAGACAGCAACCACCCAGGGAGGTACTACCGTCCTGCCAAGTGAGTGTAAAACAAAGCCTGTAATTGTTTTACATGATGGTAGGATTGCTGGTGTCTTTTGTCTGTCTCATAAATATGCAAGATTACAGGCACGTCTTGCTACTTCTACTTACACTTAGGTCACACTACACATACATGTACACGTTTATTTATACACACTCATCTGAGTTTTCTTTGATTTTATCTTAATAGTTCTTGGTCTTATTACTTTTCCTTTTATATCCATGGGGAAGTGGAATAGGAATCTTTCCTCCGTAAGCCATGCGTGTTGTAAAAGTCAACTAAAATGCCGGGAACAATGGGCTAGTAACCCCTTTTCCTGTAAAGATTACTAAACAGAATAAGAAGAAAATTGTCAAAGTGGGAAGTCTGAATGTGCGTGGATGTTGTGCAAATGATAAGAAAGAGATGATTGTGGATGTTATGAATGAGAAGAAACTGGATGTCCTGGCTTTAAGTGAAACAAACCTGAAGGGGGTGGGAGAATTTCAATGGAGAGGAATAAATGGGATTAGGTCAGGGGTTTCAAATAGAGTTAGAGCTAAAGAAGGAGTAGCAATAATGTTGAAGAATAAGCTATGGCAGGAAAAGAGGGACTACAAATGTATAAATTCAAGGATTATGTGGAGTAAAATAAAGACTGGGTGTGAAAAGTGGGTTATAGTAAGCGTGTATGCACCTGGAGAAGAGAGAAGTGTAGAGGAGAGAGAGAGATTCTGGGAAATGTTGAGTGAATGCGTGGGGAGTTTTGAATCAAGTGTGAGAGTAATGGTGGTTGGGATTTCAATGCTAAAGTGGGTAAAAATGTTATAGAGGGAGTAGTAGGTAAATTTGGGATGCCAGGGGTAAATGTAAATGGGAGCTTTTAATTGAGCTATGTGTAGAAAGAAATTTGGTAATAAGTAATACATATTTTATGAAAAAGAAGATAAATAAATATACAAGGTATGATGTAGCACGTAATGAAAGTAGTTTGTTAGATTATGTATTGGTGGATAAAAGGTTGATGGGTAGGCTCCAGGATGTACATGTTTATAGAGGGGCAACTGATATAGCGGATCATTATTTAGTTGTAGCTACAGTTAGAGTAAGAGGTAGATGGGAAAAGAGGAAGGTGGCAACAACAAGTAAGAGGGAGGTGAAAGTGTATAAACTAAGGGAGGAGGAAGTTCGGGCGAGATATAAGCGACTATTGGCAGAAAGGTGGGCTAGTGCAAAGATGAGTAGTGGGGGGGTTGAAGAGGGTTGGAATAGTTTTAAAAATGCAGTATTAGAATGTGGGGCAGAAGTTTGTGGTTATAGGAGGGTGGGGGCAGGAGGAAAGAGGAGTGATTGGTGGAATGATGAAGTAAAGGGTGTGATAAAAGAGAAAAAGGTAGCTTACGAGAGGCTTTTACAAAGCAGAAGTGTTATAAAAAGAGCAGAGTATATGGAGAGTAAAAGAAAGGTGAAGAGAGTGGTGAGAGAGTGCAAAAGGAGAGCAGATGAAAGAGTGGGAGAGGCACTGTCAAGAAATTTTAATGAAAATAAGAAAAAATTTTGGAGTGAGTTAAACAAGTTAAGAAAGCCTAGGGAAAGTATGGATTTGTCAGTTAAAAACAGAGTAGGGGAGTTAGTAGATGGGGAGAGGGAGGTATTAGGTAGATGGAGAGAATATTTTGAGGAACTTTTAAATGTTGAGGAAGAAAGGGAGGCGGTAATTTTATGCACTGGCCAGGGAGGTATACCATCTTTTAGGAGTGAAGAAGAGCAGAATGTAAGTGTGGTGGAGGTACGTGAGGTATTACGTAGAATGAAAGGGGGTAAAGCAGCTGGAACTGATGGGATCATGACAGAAATGTTAAAAGCAGGGGGGGATATAGTGTTGGAGTGGTTGGTACTTTTGTTTAATAAATGTATGAAAGAGGGGAAGGTACCTAGGGATTGGCGGAGAGCATGTATAGTCCCTTTATATAAAGGGAAAGGGGACAAAAGAGATTGTAAAAAATATAGAGGAATAAGTTTACTGAGTATACCAGGAAAAGTATACGGTAGGGTTATAATTGAAAGAATTAGAGGTAAGACAGAATGTGGGATTGCGGATGAGCAGGGAGGCTTCAGAGTGGGTAGGGGATGTGTAGATCAAGTGTTTACATTGAAGCATATATGTGAACAGTATTTAGATAAAGGTAGGGAAGTTTTTATTGCATTTATGGATTTAGAAAAGGCATATGAAGAGTGGATAGAGGAGCAATGTGGCAGATGTTGCAAGTACAGTGGACCCCCGCATAACGATCACCTCCGAATGCGACCAATTATGTAAGTGTATTTATGTAAGTGCGTTTGTACGTGTATGTTTGGGGGTCTGAAATGGACTAATCTACTTCACAATATTCCTTATGGGAACAAATTCAGTCAGTACTGGCACCTGAACATACTTCTGGAGTGAAAAAATATCGTTAACCGGGGTCCACTGTATATGGAATAGGTGGTAAGTTACTAAATGCTGTAAAGAGCTTTTATGAGGATAGTGAGGCTCAGGTTAGGGTGTGTAGAAGAGAGGGAGAATACTTCCCGGTAAAAGTAGGTCTTAGACAGGGATGTGTAATGTCACCATGGTTGTTTAATATATTTATAGATGGGGTTGTAAAAGAAGTAAATGCTAGAGTGTTTGGGAGAGGGGTGGGATTAAATTATGGGGAATCAAATTCAAAATGGGAATTGACACGGTTACTTTTTGCTGATGATACTGTGCTTATGGGAGATTCTAAAGAAAAATTGCAAAGGTTAGTGGATGAGTTTGAGAATGTGTGTAAAGGTAGAAAGTTGAAAGTGAACATAGAAAAGAGTAACGTGATGAGGGTATCAAATGATTTAGATAAAGGAAAATTGGATATCAAATTGGGGAGGAGGAGTATGGAAGAAGTGAATGTTTTCAGATACTTGGGAGTTGACGTGTTGGCGGATGGATTTATGAAGGATGAGGTTAATCATAGAATTGATGAGGGAAAAAAGATGAGTGGTGCGTTGAGGTATATGTGGAGTCAAAAAACGTTATCTATGGAGGCAAAGAAGGGAATGTATGAAAGTATAGTAGTACCAACACTCTTATATGGATGTGAAGCTTGGGTGGTAAATGCAGCAGCGAGGAGACGGAGGCAGTGGAGAAGTCCTGTCTAAGGGCAATGTGTGGTGTAAATATTATGCAGAAAATTCAGAGTGTGGAAATTAGGAGAAGGTGTGGAGTTAATAAAAGCATTAGTCAGAGGGCAGAAGAGGGGTTGTTGAGGTGGTTTGGTCATTTAGAGAGAATGGATCAAAGTAGAATGACATGGAAAGCATATAAATCTATAGGGGAAGGAAGGAGGGGTAGGGGTCGTCCTCAAAAGGGTTGGAAAGAGGGGGTAAAGGAGGTTTTGTGGGCTAGGGGCTTGGATTTCCAGCAAGCGTGCATGAGCGTGTTAGATAGGAGTGAATGGAGGCGAATGATACTTGGGACCTGACGATCTGTTGGAGTGTGAGCAGGGTAATATTTAGTGAAGGGATTCAGGGAAACCGGTTATGTTCATATAGTCGGACTTGAGTCCTGGAAATGGGAAGTACAATGCCTGCACTTTAAAGGAGGGAGTTGGGATATTGGCAGTTTGGAGGGATATGCTGTGTATCTTTATACGTATATGCTTTTAAGCTGTTGTATTCTGAGCACCTCTGCAAAAGCAGTGATAATGTGTGAGTGTGGTGAAAGTGTTGAATGATGATGAAAGTATTTTCTTTTTGGAGATTTTCTTTCTTTTTTGGGTCACCTTGCCTCGGTGGGAGACGGCCGACTTGTTGAAAAAAAAAAAAAAATATTATATTATTATTATTATTGTATTATATTATTTTTATTATATGTATTGTTATTATTCATATTATTATTATACATATTATTATTATCGTTATTATTATTATCATTATTATTTTATAAATTATTTGTAATTTTTATTCACAAAAAATATAAGATTTACAATTATTCCTTACTGCAATAATTGTATAAATATGTCAACCCATTCACGAGTGCATACTGGAATGGACAGGGACCATTTCTCCTAGGTTGAGCTCAATTTCAAGGCACTTTTCATCATGAAAGCAATCAAAATCGTATCTATTTCTGTAATATATCTTCCATTCTATCAAATGAGACCAAAAAAACAAGAATACAACCATAAAAACCATTCGAAATTACCACTAAGGGGTGACTAATTGCTGAGAAGTGAACTCCATTATTTATGCTTAGATTTCTTTCATTTTTGGTGTACATTAAGAAGCATCTTTCCATCATACATTGCCAAAGTTTCAATAAGATAGTCCAACAAACAAATGAGATACAATTCCCGAGATCAAGAGCAAGAGCCCCTCACCAGTGTCAAGGAACCTGCCTTGAGGTCTGCTCGCTTGTGGAAATTTTGCTCGCGTATGGAAGCAAAAAATCGACCCATCGACTGCTCGTATTTGGAAAAACTCGCACGTGGACACGCTCGCAAGTAGAGGTTCCACTGTATTATATTTTTAATATGTAAATGTTAACACTTTAGTTATGTACTTTAAAAGAGCTGGTATCAATCTTTTAATTGAGAGTTTTCTCAGACTATATAAAACTTTAAGTAATTTTGTAATATATTGAACATACTTTTAAATGCTGTTACTCAAGCACATACGCAATATTAAAAATTATGGCATTTCCTAAATTCCTCTCTGGTAACTATTTGGGGGTACTGTATGAGTAGTGCTTTCACAATTTGGATATTAATCACTAAATGCATTTATTTAATAACTTTAGTAAACTCAAATCTCATTCAATTACACCAAGCAATAGATTAAATCATCAATATTGCATTATTTCATTTGACAACTAATATTTCCAATTTTTTACTTTTAGTAAAATCTAAAAATTTAACCAGCCAAAGACAGATGCTTCAACGATTCCATTAGAAAACAATCACTTGCTCACAGAAAAGTGTAATTCCCTAGTTCGTGCTTCTCCACCTTCAATACAACTACTGTTACAACCCTCCTCCTATCCTGTCTACAGTAATTCCTCCCATTTTTCATATTGTTGATTAATTATATTATTTATCTCTGCTACATTACAAACAATATTTTTAAATACAGTGCCACATTAAAATTTTCTCTTGATAACATTTAAAAAAAAAATATTCACCATAAAGTAAACAGTGCAGCATCAGTTCACTTACACATTCAAGAAACTTGACTGTTGTTTCAAATCAGGTGTTGTAGTCAGTCTTGTAATTTGGGAACTGGCTTTCTCTATTGGCCTGCAACACTGCTCAAAAGCTTACTGATGTCATTTAATCAATTCAGCCCAACGATAAAAATCTGACTAGTACGTACAAGTCTCCCTCATGTGGACTCACTTTCTGTGAATTTGCTGATCTCCAGTGGCCTATTTTTACCAGTAATCTGCTATGCATTTAACTGCATTTCCCCAAAATACATTACATACTAGTGGTTTTCTTTTGTGCCTAAACAATGTTTTATTACATGTAAACTGCATTACTTTTCTACAGCATAAAAAGAAAGAAAAATCTGAATTTGAGTGATATTAATTTCACTCTGGTGTGATCACCCTGGCCCAACATTTGATCTTCTAATAATATCTCCTCAAATATCTTTAACCTGGTTAATACTGACAATAAAAAGAAAGAATAATCCGAAAGAAACCACTTGGATGCAGTTGGATGAGAATATTTTGAAAGAAATCTTATAGTTAGTTTTCAATTTAAGTGTCACGTGCCACACACAAAAAAAAGGCTTATCGGCCAGACGAAATTGGGTTGCACTGTCACAAATATGGGATTACTGTGTTGGCTGGTGATGGAGGCAGAAAAGAAGGGAAAAAGGGGAGGGAAGTTATGACTGAATTTAGATTTTTAGTTTTCTCGATTTGTTTTTGACCAAATTTGTTCCTTTCTATGCGTATTACCATTCAATGCATTTTTTTTTGGGGGGGGGGCAAACATTATTCAAAAAATGTGGAATTTGCAGCATCAGGACGACTCCCACTGTTTTACGTTACAATGGCTTCGTTTATGTGCCATGGATCACGAATGCATACATCATGTAAAGCAAGCGGGACCTGCACACTGCGACCAAGATAACTTTAGCTATAAAGTAATTGTCTTAATAGCCATGGTCAAAGTTTTACCTTTATCCCTGCAAAATTAATATAAGATTGGAATAACTTTAAGATTAACAGAACTTTCAAGTTATTTTTAAAGCAGTAGTTCATTTACATAAAAGACCTATGCAATAGTGAAAACCAACATGTATAAACACTGGCTAGATTTTATATTATGAACACCTCTCACATAAGTATGAATATTGCATTGCGAATAGATTAATTACTCGATGCATATAGTAATATGCACATAGTGACATACAAATAAGTACTTGACATATTTTATCAACACCAGCACATCAAACACACATCTCTCCAATGGTGGTAGGTTATTGACATCAGTATGTCAAATCTCTCTCTCTACTGGTGGTAGGTTATCAACACTGGTATATCAAACATCTCTCTCTCTCTTTCTCTGCTGGTGGATGGTTATCGACACTGGCATATCAAATATGTTTCTCTGCTGGTGGTAGGTTTTCCTGATACACAAACAATTTTTCAGTCCATCTTATCTACATATACCTGAATTTCTTGACGCAGTCATTACCGAGGTCAACAATGACAACGTGGCCATCCCGTGTTGTGGCTAACCCTGAAGGCCGCTTCAGCTTTGCCTCACGGGAGTCTATAGTGAAGATAAGCGTTCCAAGTGTATAATCAAACACCTGAATACAGGAATTGTTGCGCTCTTGTCTCGTAGCCAGCAATAAACCTTTGGGGTCCAAAAAGAGACCTCCATATGTCCCCTTTAGCCCTTTCCCTGAAATAAAGTGGAAATTACAAACTCAGTCATCTAAAAAGAACAAAAAGGCACAACGCCATGACTGCAACAACACACAAATAACCCATACACAGAAGAAAGAAGCTTCTTTCTCCTATGTGAGTGTGATTTGTATAATAGTCCTCTAATTTAGGAAATATAATTCATTCTTAATATACAGAATCATGAAATAGTTTGACCATCTTTAACCTCCACATTATTCAAGCTAACTGAGAGCATGCAACTTACCCCAAGTTTACAGTTACTATATTCATGAAAAGCACTATCCAGCAGAGATGAGAGGGACAAAAAGGTGGGTATCAGAGAAATGGAGAGGGAGGTCACAGCTGATACAGCAAATTGGTCAATTAAAAAAAATCATAAGAGAATATCTGCACTGAAGTCTGGCTGCCAGAGTTAGGTTTCTGTCTGAATATTAGCAAACAGATTATCAAGCTCCGAACACTCCTTGCTCGGATGACCCACATGGGTTTAAGCAAGATGTATGAATATATATAACCCCTACAAAGGATAAATTAAACACACGTGCAAGACCTGGGTATCTTTATTGTGCGACGAAACATTTCCACAATAAAGATACCCAGGTGTTGCAAATGTGTCTCATTTATCAACATGTCAGTTCTCTGAGTCATTTATCTACAAACCTCTACAGTCTCTGCTTTATGATGTCACCCTTATTACTGCATAAAAGATGGGACTATCAGAGGTGAGGAAAGGCAAGGTGAGCTCACAAGTTTCTAAGAGGTGCTCAAATCTGGGGAATTTGATATTTGCTGCCATATCTGAGTCTACCAGTGGGGAGGGAGGAGTATCACTAGTTGCATCACTATTAGCATAATGTCTAACTTTATTCTCATTAATGTATACCTATAACATCTACGTGTCCTCAGTGCAATTGTACAAATTTATACTACTTATGTCTGTAAAATTATTTGTGAATTTCTTGAATCAAGCTTATCACAATAATTCTAGTATGTGCTTCATCAGCATTTCACTCTAGACCACTTGTGACTTCCTACTCTATATAAATTATGACAAAATGTTTATCAACAAACTAAGACACACTATCACAAGTGCTTAACCTGAATAGTACAACCTCTCCCCACTTAACGACGGACTTCCGTTTTCCTAAGATCATGTTGGTAAATGAATTCGTCGCTAATTGAGGAGCATATTATAATGGTAGTGGGTTTGTGTCAACCATCTCCGATGTTGTTTTAATATCACCTTTGCACCATTTATAACATTTCTGGTATATTCTTAAATGCTTATATAGTAGGGTACTGTATACTGTAATAAACAGAATAGAAGAAATCAGCTGTAATATACATTATTTAGGTATGAATACTGATGAGAGAGCCCGTCGTAAGTCTGAGGCATTGGTAAACGAGTACGTCGCTAAGTGAGAAGAGGCTGTATTTTTATTTTCATTACCACACTGCCCATCATTCACCAAGGTAGTGATCCCCCAAAGATGAAATATGTCCACCATCATTCATTCAATAGTTGTCTTGCCAGTTCAGATGCCCCTTCAAACTGCAAATATCCCCACTCTTCCTTCAGAGTGCAGGCACTGTACTTCCCACCTCCAGGACTGAAGTCTGGCTAACAGGTTTCCCAGAATCCTTTTACAAATGTTACCTTGCTCATACTCCAACAACTCATCAAGTCCCAAAATCCATTTGCCTCCACTCGCTCCCAACTAACATACTCACACATTCCTGCTGGATGTCCAAGCCCCTTGCACACACAGCCTCTTTTATACCCTCCCTCCAACCTTTCCTAGGGCAACCCCTACCCTGCCTTCCCTCCACTACATATTTATACATCATTCAAGTCATCCTATTTCACTCTATCCTCTCTGAACGTCTAAACTACCTCAAGAACCTCTTCTCAGCCCTCTGGATAATACTTTTGTAATGCCCACACCTTTTCATCTCCAAGCTACAAATTCTCTGCTTAATATTTACACCATTCATTGCCCTCATACATGACATCACTGCCTCCTCCTTGCAACATTCATTATGTATATATATTTTGAAAATAAAATTTATTTGCTTGTCTGTTCAAATATTAGAAAAAATAAATAAAAAAATTAAAAGTTTATAATGAAACTTCACTATTTCAGGCAGCTGCAACTAACCTTTAGTTTCAAAAATAGTGCGTGAGAACTGTCCTTCAGGAGAGAATACTTGTATTCTTGAATCAGCGACCACTATCTCATTATCAGGACCAGTGCAGAGTGCAGCAATGGACCCCAACTGACCTGGCTTGTTCCCTTTCACCCCCCACTTTCTTACCAGTTTCCCACCGGGAAGAAAAACAAAAATTGAATTCACTGCATTGTCTGCTACAAGAATTTCACCATCATTGTTAACTGCCAGCATCGTTGGTTCTATTAACTGTTCATGAGTGAACTGGGAAAGGAGCTGACCTGAGGAAGTTACTTCTGTTATAGTCTTCTTCCGCCAGTTCACAAACACTAAGGAACTGCTGGGAGTTCGAGTAATGCCCGTAACGCTTCTGCCCTCTAAGGCATCACCCACTATATGTTGCACTTCTTTCAGTTGCGGACTCAACACCTTAATTCGAGAATTTCCTGTGTCTGCCACATACATATACTCATTGTCATCGATACATATTCCCACTGGTTGCAAAAACTGGTCCTTTCCAGAACCACGTGAACCATACACAATATCTGGATTATGTTCATCGATCACTTCCACATGCAATGGGCTTTCTTTGATCGATCTCCCAAATATTTTCACAGCCACACTGTGTGTCCCACCTTGCTCAGGGGTAAAGAATACAGAATAAGACCCATCCTCATTGTCTTCAATTTGGCTCTCAATCACATCCCCACCTTCAGTCTTTACTTCCGCTTCAACAGGGTCGCCACCTGTACTTTGACTCTCTCCATCGTAATCGACAGTATGAACTACAACTTCACTGCGTAAATGAGTCATGGCTTTCTTGGCCTTCATAAAGCACAAACTCGGGAAGGTTTTACTTGAAACAATCCGTCCATAATCCTCAATAGTTGCCTGAATCTGATCAAAGGCCTCATTGTGATGACTTTCAAATTTCAGGAAAGCATTTTCTCTTGGTTCAACTAATGTGGATAGAGAGTCAATTTTTGTGTTAAGGTGAGCAATCTTTTTGGTAATGTTTCGAACTTCTACTTGGTACTGAAGACCTTCACATTCCTGTTGAACTTTCCGTCTCTCTCCCTCAATGATGTTTAACTGGTCCTGTAAAAAAACAAGGGGGATGGGGGAAGATAAATTAATTTATATCATTCTCTTATTTTACACATTTTTAAGCAATTTTCTTTTGCAGTAAAAGTACGATGATGCAAAGCATACAAGCATCAACCACCTTCCTCGGTAAGAAACCCCCTAATGAATGTCTAACCTTGTTAGAGATTTTACTGAAAAAGAAATACTATCATACTACATTAACTGGTTATGTAGAACCTTAATATAATGGACCCTTATGTAATGAATTTAGATAAAACAAACAAAATATCTGGTCAGACAGATGTTCGATGCCATGGACTAAGGCTCACCATACAACAGACCAAATCCACTGAATCGACACTTTAACCGTTAATAATATAACTGCATGTGTCTGGTAGATTCTCTGTACAACTGACCATGTCCGTGTATCAGGCATTTCAATACAATATATTTTCAACTAAATGGACATTTCCTCCTTGCCTATTAGTTCATTACACAACAGTTTCAAAGGAAAAAACACATTACATATAAGAAAAGCATTTAAATATACTTAATAACAATAACATAATACAGAGGCCATCATCTCTAACTCGTAGGAAAGCTCCCAATATGAAAGTAAGACAAGTATTACTGTATTGGTAAATAATACAAACTATACTTTTTTTTTTTTTTAACACTGAGGCAAGATGACCCAAAAAAGAAACTCACCATCATTCACACTATCACTGCCTTGCCAGAGGCACACAGATACGACAGTTCAGACATCTCTCCAAACAATTCAAATGCCACAAAAAATATATATTCAGATTATTTAAAAAAAAAAAAAACTCATTTAGTTGGATTTTATTTTCCATCTACCCTTCTAAATATTCACATATTACTGTGACTCTCACCTGTAAAACCTTCTTCTTCTCATCGCGCATCTTTTTAACATTGTTGATGACTGCTTCTCGCCGTTGCTCAATCGTGTCAATAATTGCTTGGAATGCTCTGTTGACATCCTCAAATGTTGAGTCAACTGCATGGTCCAGTTGATGCATTTCTGAAGTTACTGCATCACTTGCCTCATTCAACTGAAAATTCATAGGTTTTCAATACAAGTGTACATACTCGGTAAGCATTTAAAATGAAATCAAATTAAGACTAGATATGGTTTAATCGCATCTGAGCAACAATTAAGGTAAATAAGCCTAAGCTACATTCATTTAAGCGTATCTTATGATACAAATGCACCCCTCTATCCCTAGCTCTTTCTCCTACCCTTCCTTCCCATTCCTCTTTACACTTACAAGTGTTTACAAGCTAAAATCTGCTGACATACCTCAGTTAACTTCAAAGCTGAAGCCTAGCAGCTATTTTTATTAGGTTATTTAATACATGTAATGTACAGTGGACCCCCGCATAACGATATTATTTCAATCCAGAAGTCTGTTTGGGTGCCGTTATAGACCGAATTTGCTCCCATAAGAAATATTGTGAATTAGATTAGTCCGTTTCAGACCCCCAAAAATACACCTACAAAAGCACTTACAAAAATACACTTACATAATTGGTCAAGTTGGGAGCTGATCGTTATGCAGGGGTCCACTGTACTTGATATTAAGCAATAATGTTGGGCACAGTATGAAGCTGGAGTCAAATGTGAGCCAGCACTTTCAACTGATTGGCCAACTTTGGTGATTCTATTTTAAGGAGCAAGTTATGCAAGAGAAATTATAGCTGATGAGAAAGGTACAACCAGAATGAAGCTGCCGTTGGCTCTTTATTTTATAATAACTCCCTTCTCAACACTCCTGCTATCTTATGACGTAATAGTCGCACACTCCTGCTACTTCCTTTCCCTTAATTATTCTAATGCCCAAAATGCTCTGCATAACCATGGGCTTTCAACATACATTCAAGTGTCACCCATTTCTGTATAAACAATGTTATTATGTTGAAATAAACTTGTATCTGTATTATTTAATCACGTTTTGTTTTGTGTATTTTTTTTTTTTTTTCAACAAGTCGGCCGTCTCCCACCGAGGCAGGGTGACCCAAAAAAGAAAGAAAATCCCCAAAAAGAAAATACTTTCATCATCATTCAACACTTTCACCACACTCGCACATTATCACTGTTTTTGCAGAGGTGCTCAGAATACAACAGTCTAGAAGCATACACATATAAAGATACACAACATATCCCTCCAAACTGCCAATATCCCAAACCTCTCCTTTAAAGTGCAGGCACTGTACTTCCCATTTCCAGGACTCAAGTCCGACTATATGTGTATACCTTTATCAAATCATGTTCTGTGCTGTGTAGACCATTATCAAATTATATTTTGGACTGTGTCGAGCTTTATCAAGTCTTGTTTTGGGTAGTGTAGAGCTTCATCAAGTCTTGTTTGACTCTGTGTAGAGGTTTGCCAAATCATGTTTCGCTCGGCATAGAGGTTTGTTGTGTATTGCTCTGTTCAGAGGTTTATCAGGTCATGTTTGGGTTTATGTAGAGGTTTATTGAGTCATATTTGGATTTGAGCAGAGGTTTGTCAAGTCGTGTATGGCTCTGTGTAGATCAACACCTGACCTATCATGGCTTGATAAAGCTCTACACACAAAGCAAAATGTTACAACCCATAAAAGCTTATTCAGCAATTTGTATCTTTAAACTGTGAAAACTACCAGCAAGACAAGGGATATGGATCCCAAGCATGGAAGGATATTAGCCTCACCTTTGAATAACATTCATTTGCCTTATAACATAGTATTTCTGACATTCTTTTGATAGCAATGGAGAGTGGAATGACTGTGTGTTGATAGCTGGCAGCACTGCCCTGGTGGGACCCATTGCTACACTGCATGCAAAACACAAGGTCGCACGACTCACAAAACAGTAATTCCTGAAAAGATATGCACTAATTTAATACAGTTATACTGCAGAAGAAACCAAATACTATATACAGCACAGCTAGGTCACGATTAACGCAAATGATGAATCCGCTAAGTGGTCACATTGTTTGAATTGGCACTATTCGAACTTGCCCTAATCGTGACCTGGGTGTAATAAATTTAATACATACAAACATACTGCACCTACAAATGGGGAAAAAAATATGCAATAGAGCAAAAGGGTGGATCTGCAAGCATGAAAAATATGAGACAGGCAACACACTGAATAATTTAAAATAAAAAATATCTCCAAAATCACAACATTTACCACACAGAAGGTGCACAATGCAATGTATCTGACTCAGTCTCATCTAGTATATGAGTCACATTTATATCAGAAACAGTAGTGGTCCTAATACCGATCCTTGCAAAACCTCGCTTGTCACTCTTCCTTATTCTGATATCTCTTCCCGTGAAAGTAGGTTAATGGTGAATTAGTAAAAGTACTGTATATAGGAGGGAAAGGTATATACAATGTAAGAAAAATCTTTAGAAATTAAATAAATTTGTTAAGCTCTAGGGACATATCTAATGGAATGATAAAATGGCAGAAGAAATAAACTGTTTGAAGGTACAAGCAGGATAAATTAGTAATAGTAAAATTATATGCTGCACCATACTGTACCTGATTAGCATGGGTGGAACACTTGGGTACAACTTCTCGTCTCTGTCGTGACATGAGATCCAATAATTGGTTCACTAAGAAAGAGGGGGGTAGAGCCGCCACTCCCCCCGAAGGAATGCGTATAGACTCCCGACATATTGGACAGCGAAACGTGCCATCATCACGTGCGTGGGAGGCGACAATCCGAGTAAGGCAGTGAAGACAAACGGTGTGCGAGCAGTGTAGCAGCTTAGGGGTGTGTTCGACCCCATCAAAGGAACCTGTCCATATTAGAGCTACAATGACACGTGTTGAAATGTTTTTCTACAGTGATGAAACAGTTATTAAGTCATTTCCCAGGATTTACTAATTAGGAAGTGCTTAAGTTTCCTTTTGAGATAGTTTCATTAGCATAAATTTTGTTAGCAATGGTAATGCACATTTTTAATATTCCTAAGAACTTTTAGATTTATGTAGTTTCTTATTAGTGTGGTGAAGAGAGAAATAAATAAATAATTGACCAGTCTTCATAAAAAGGTAGGAAAGAATATAAGCATAGGATATAAAAAGACTGAGGTACAAGGTAGATATGTGGAGACAAAATAAGTGGCCCAGTCACTTTGAATGTGTGTACAGAGTATCAATATTATTTTCTCTATTATTTTATATTAGTGCAGCATGACATTTTTTCATTGCCTAACACATTTCCCAATATACACATTTTTTTTTTTTAACAAGTCAGCCGTCTCCCACCGAGGCAGGGTGACCCAAAAAGAAAGAAAATCCCCAAAAAGAAAATACTTTCATCATCATTCAACACTTTCACCTCACTCACACATAATCACTGTTTTTGCAGAGGTGCTCAGAACACAACAGTTTAGAAGCATATATGTATAAAAATACACAACATATCCCTCCAAACTGCTAATATCCCAAGCCCCTCCTTTAGAGTGCAGGCATTGTACTTCCCATTTCCAGGACTCAAGTCCAGCAATATAAAAATAACATGTATATAAAAATGCCGGGAGCAATGGGCTAGTAACCCCTTCTCCTGTATACATTTACTAAAAAAGAGAAGAAGAAAAACTTTATAAAACTGGGATGCTTAAATGTGCGTGGATGTAGTGCGGATGACAAGAAACAGATGATTGCTGATGTTATGAATGAAAAGAAGTTAGATGTCCTGGCTCTAAGCGAAACAAAGCTGAAGGGGGTAGGAGAGTTTCAGTGGGGGGAAATAAATGGGATTAAATCTGGAGTATCTGAGAGAGTTAGAGCAAAGGAAGGGGTAGCAGTAATGTTAAATGATCAGTTATGGAAGGAGAAAAGAGAATATGAATGTGTAAATTCAAGAATTATGTGGATTAAAGTAAAGGTTGGATGCGAGAAGTGGGTCATAATAAGCGTGTATGCACCTGGAGAAGAGAGGAATGCAGAGGAGAGAGAGAGATTTTGGGAGATGTTAAGTGAATGTATAGGAGCCTTTGAACCAAGTGAGAGAGTAATTGTGGTAGGGGACCTGAATGCTAAAGTAGGAGAAACTTTTAGAGAGGGTGTGGTAGGTAAGTTTGGGGTGCCAGGTGTAAATGATAATGGGAGCTTTGATTGAACTTTGTATAGAAGGGGTTTAGTTATAGGTAATACATATTTAAGAAAAAGAGGATAAATAAGTATACACGATATGATGTAGGGCGAAATGACAGTAGTTTGTTGGATTATGTATTGGTAGTATAAAAGACTGTTGAGTAGACTTCAGGATGTACATGTTTATAGAGGGGCCACAGATATATCAGATAACTTTCTAGTTGTAGCTACACTGAGAGTAAAAGGTAGATGGGATACAAGGAGAATAGAAGCATCAGGGAAGAGAGAGGTGAAGGTTTATAAACTAAAAAAGGAGGGCAGTTAGGTAAGATATAAACAGCTATTGGAGGATAGATGGGCTAATGAGAGCATAGGCAATGGGGTCGAAGAGGTATGGGGTAGGTTTAAAAATGTAGTGTTAGAGTGTTCAGCAGAAGTTTGTGGTTACAGGAAAGTGGGTGCAGGAGGGAAGAGGAGCGATTGGTGGAATGATGATGTAAAGAGAGTAGTAAGGGAGAAAAAGTTAGCATATGAGAAGTTTTTACAAAGTAGAAGTGATGCAAGGAGGGAAGAGTAATGGAGAAAAGAGAGAGGTTACGGAGTGTATGAACAATGATAAAAAAGAGAGCAAATGAGAGAGTGGGTGAGATGTTATCAACAAATTTTGTTGAAAATAAGAAAAAGTTTTGGAGTGAGATTAACAAGTTAAGAAAGCCTAGAGAACAAATGGATTTGTCAGTTAAAAATAGGAGAGGAGAGTTATTAAATGGAGAGTTAGAGGTATTGGGAAGATGGAGGGAATATTTTGAGGAATTGTTAAATGTTGATGAAGATAGGGAAGCTGTGATTTCGTGTATAGGGCAAGGAGGAATAACATCTTGTAGGAGTGAGGAAGAGCCAGTTGTGAGTGTGGGAGAAGTTCGTGAGGCAGTGGGTAAAATGAAAGGGGGTAAGGCAGCCGGGATTGATGGGATAAAGATAGAAATGTTTAAAAGCAGGTGGGGATATAGTTTTGGAGTGGTTGGTGCAATTATTTAATAAATGTATGGAAGAGGGTAAGGTACCTAGGGAATGGCAGAGAGCATGCATAGTTCCTTTGTATAAAGGCAAAGGGGATAAAAGAGAGTGCAAAAATTATAGGGGGATAAGTCTGTTGAGTGTACCTGGTAAAGTGTATGGTAGGTTATAATTGAAAGAATTAAGAGTAAGACGGAGAATAGGATAGCAGATGAACAAGGAGGCTTTAGGAAAGGTAGGGGGTGTGTGGACCAGGTTGTTTACAGTGAAACATATAAGTGAACAGTATTTAGATAAGGCTAAAGAGGTCTTTGTGGCATTTTGGTGGAGTTCTGGAAAAGGGCAATGACAGGGTGGTTAGGTTACTGAAAGCAGTGAAGAGTTTTTAGAGGATAGTGAGGCTCAAGTTAGAGTATGTAGGAAAGAGGGAAATTTTTTCCCAGTAAAAGTAGGCCTTAGACAAGGATGTGTGATGTCACCGTGGTTGTTTAATATATTTATAGATGGGGTTGTAAGAGAAGTAAATGCGAGGGTCTTGGCAAGAGGCTGAGTTAAAAGATAAAGAATCACACACAAAGTGGGAGTTGTCACAGCTGCTCTTTGCTGATGACACTGTGCTCTTGGGAGATTCTGAAGAGAAGCTGCAGAGATTGGTGGATGAATTTGGTAGGGTGTGCAAAAGAAGAAAATTAAAGGTGAATTACAGGAAAGAGTAAGGTTATGAGGATAACAAAAGATTAGGTGATGAAAGATTGAATATCAGATTGGAGGGAGAGAGTATGGAGGAGGTGAACGTATTCAGATATTTGGGAGTGGACGTGTCAGCGGATGGGTCTATGAAAGATGAGGTGAATCATAGAATTGATGAGGGAAAAAGAGTGGAGTGGTGCACTTAGGAGTCTGTGGAGACAAAGAACTTTGTCCTTGGAGGCAAAGAGGGGAATGTATGAGAGTATAGTTTTTACCAACGCTCTTATATGGGTGTGAAGCGTGGGTGATGAATGTTGCAGCGAGGAGAAGGCTGGAGGCAGTGGAGATGTCTGTCTGAGGGCAATGTGTGGGTGTGAATATAATGCAGAGAATTCTGTAGTTTGGAAGTTAGGGAGGAGGTGCGGGATTACCAAAAAATGTTGTCCAGAGGGCTGAGGAAGGGTTGTTGAGGTGGTTCGGACATGTAGAGAGAATGGAGCGAAACAGAATGACTTCAAGAGTGTATCAGTCTGTAGTGGAAGGAAGGCGGGGTGGGGGTTTCGGCCTAGGAAGGGTTGGAGGGAGGGGGGAAAGGAGGTTTTGTGTGCGAGGGGCTTGGACTTCCAGCAGGCATTTCGTGAGCGGTGTTTGATAGGAGTGAATGGAGACAAATGGTTTTTAATACTTGACGTGGGTGTTGGAGTGTGAGCAAAGTAACATTTATGAAGGGATTCAGGGAAACCGGCAGGCCGGACTTGAGTCCTGGAGATGGGAAGTACAGTGCCTGCACTCTGAAGGAGGGGTGTTAATGTTGCAGTTTAAAAACTGTAGTGTAAAGCACCCTTCTGGCAAGACAGTGATGGAGTGAATGATGGTGAAAGTTTTTCTTTTTCGGGCCACCCTGCCTTGGTGGGAATCGGCCAGTGTGATAATAAATAAAAATAAAAATAAAAGAATATACTGCATGAATATACATAAGTATACACACATGTTGGCAAACATGAATGTATGTATAAGCATTCAGTACTTCAATCTTGGGATAGAGATTTGCTGCTCAGGAAAATTTTCAACTTGAGTCTGGTGCTGTTCAGGCAAGTTTTTAATTTCTGAGTGCTCATTTTTGGTGAACTGTATTCTTGTTTTAAGTGCTATTATGACAACAAATTTTATGATGTATAATTATTCTTGGCTGATACAGAACTCCGAGGTATTTCATGAGATAACCAAGTGGGTGCTACTGCCACCATTTATGAATCTTAGAAAACATCCAAAACAGCAGCCAAGGTGGTCACCGATCATCTACGAATACCAAGAGACATAAATCAAAATGAATATTGAGAATTTTAATAAAATTTATTGCTAATGTGTTTATTTGGTCAAGGAAGTCACCTATAATGCTTTCATACAGACTCTGAGACATTCTCACTATTCCAGTGTCCTTTGCATTTAGCCAGGAAAGGAAAGCGAACTACATTTATAATTTCATAAAGCGCACACATATTTTGGGTCAGACATTTTACTAAGTACCTACAAATGTCACTCATATGGATGATGAAATATTATCACGAATAATTGTTACTCACTTGTCAACAGGGCAGTATATGACATAATAAATTACCAGTACATTATTGGTCATCATTGCCCAATAACTTGCCTATAATGGTACTGATATCTCTACTCACAGCTAAGACCACTGTCATGACATCAAATGATAGCACAGCTATAAGCTATAGGCTTTCCCTCACACTAAACTAATAACACTTGCAGCCGTATATTACAACTTAAATCGAGTTTGTAGACTATATGGCTTTGAGGGGGGCGAGAACAGATTTACTGTGATGGTTGCTGGAGTTGTGGGAATGAGTCAGTTTGGGTCACAGTTGGTGCCACTGAGAGAGACTTGAATATAAATTCAGTTTCCAAATCTTTTTCTATTATAAACTTCATAACTCAGTGGTAAAGCATTGGACCTGATAATCCCAGAACCACAGTTCAAGTTCCCATC